CATCAACATATTAGTGATACTTCCAAAATGCAATGATTCGCCAGTCAATCACTCCCAACCTCGCACACACATGCAACAAACATTCAGATGAGAGCCCATGAACGAAAAACCCACAGCCGAGACACGTGAGATGCATGAAAAATTTGCACCAAAATTTTATTATTATACAAAGAAAGTGTCCAAGTCTCTTGCGGCCGTGACTTTGAGGGTTGCAGTGGGAAAAAACACTCAAGTGGCAGAGGTAGGCCCACGGCACTTAGAGCAGCGGAAAAACACTCAAGTGGCAGGGGTAGGCCCGTGACACTTAAGAGCAGTGGGGAAAACACTCATGTAGCAGGTAGGCCGGTACCACTTAAGTAGTGGTAGAAGTGTCGGGTACTCGAGGCCGAGCAGAAGAAGACAAATGTTGGCATTTTTAGAGGCCCAATAGCGGTAGGCTAGAGGTAGACCAGTACCAGTCCAAGTAGCCTGAGTCTAGGGCCTGTACAGACAATATCAGAGCCTGCGATGATGTTTACCTCCGAAAGAGTGGAGGTACCGGTTGCTGGGAGGCCGCGCGGCCTAGGAAGTCACCGCCCAAGAGGCAAGTAGGAAGGTTGGGCGACATACTGCTTGAGTGGCCAGCGCTGCCTGGGAGGACGAGGAGCAGCTGGGCGCTCAGCCTGGCTATGGCCAGCAGCCCAGCCTGAGGAGGAGGAAGAAGGGGCCGAAGGAGGAGAGTGGCGAGCTACCTACCTGGCTATGGTCGACACCATCTACATCACCTTGATAGGCGCTGCATCTGGAAGGCCCCAGTTGGGGTAGTGCCGCACCAAGGAAGCTCGAGGCAGAGTCAGGCATGACGGCCTGATGAGCAGCGACCATAGCTGCTTTGTGTTGTCCTTTGCACAGGAGGGCAGAGCCCATAGTAGTCCGCCATAGCCTTAGCATGTCAGAGGAGGAAGAGGTGGGAAGCCATGGCTATGGTGGACCTGTTGTTGTGCTGGCACTAAGAGGGAACTTCGGATATTGATTCTGGTTCATCCACTCATTGTTCTTATTGTATTTGGAAGAAGAATAAGATTGACGAAGATAAGGAGGAGGAGGAAGGCGGAGCGAAGGGGCATTTGTCATTGGTCTTGCTGGTGTACATCTTCTTCTTCTTCTTCTTCTTCTTATTTCTCTCTTCTTCTTTGGTCTATATCTCTTTGCAAGTGCTTTCATTTCTTTCGCAATTGGGTGGCATTGCCTTTCCTTGTGAATTTGCACTTCGGAAACGACCAGGATCGTAACATTTGGTATTGGAGCGGACTTACAAGCTGGCGAGAGGTGTTGAACTACCCTAACCCTAATTCCGAATTAGGTTAGGGCTAACCTAATCTCGGATTAGGGTTGGAAGTTAGGGTTAAGATGGGCAGCGAGGTGTGTGGATGCTGCCCCCACCTCGTTAAGTTATGAAGGGTCGACATCAGACCTGACCAGGTTGCTTGAGTAATTGTATGGGATGTCGGGACACAAGGGAGGCTGGCTGAAGTGAGCGAGAGGGAGAAGAGAGTGAGAGGTACTCGCACATGGAATCTGGACTTCAAGAAGACGTTGAAGTGACTTTTGGACTTCCTCCAACAGGGAGACTTGTTTGGGAGCTTCCATATTTGCATTGAAGAGCTGCAAGTTGTTACTTTGGTCTTCAACATTGACGGAGGATCCGATGTTGTGACATGGGTGTAGGAGGGCCCTCTTAGTCGTGCTACAACACTTCGTGCAGTGGTAGCTAGGGGTCAGGAGGACCTATGAGAGAGGGGGGTGAGTCGTTATTTCATCTTTGGAGGCTGGGCCTCACATGTAAGTGTTGTGTAACCTGGGTATGTCCACGGGTGGTTGCTTGGTGCTTCATGGCCTGTTGGGGTGTGCTGGACTTTTTTCCTCTTCTCGGCGGTCTTGGTTGTGTGTGAGCATGTCGATTGCTTTCTCACCTGATGGATGGATGGATGATGTATCTTGTTCTCAATGAGATATCTTTTTACAGTGCATTGTCTTTTCACTTCTGAACGGTTGTAGTAGTAGTAGGTTCTTGCTGAAGTTGTCTTTTCCTTTTCAGCACGGTAGAGGCAGTTTGGGACCATCTTGGACACCCGCCTGGTTGGTCCTGGTCCACGACCTACTTGAGACCCTTTAGGACTTAGTGGGACCAGGCCCAACGGGATATGACCCTTTGGCCCCAAATCTGTTGCCGTCCGTTGTATTTCTCTGCTGTGCTGGAACTGGGGGGGACACACAGAGTAAGGACATTCCTTTCAAGGGGATCTTGACTGGTCTCACTACATGTTCTCACCATGGTTAACGAGCAGACATCCGGACTGCTCAGCGGACAGTCTGGACGGCAATATCCGGGCGGATGTCCGGTCCGAAAGGTCCGGAAGCACCTGAAATCGCAAGAATTCAAAAAAAAAAAGGGTTCGTCCTGGACCCTTCATCGGGTCCAGAGCGACCCCAAAAAAATGTTGGGAGTGTTTAGGGCCCGGTAGGGAGTAGCAGACACGGTCGGACGGTAGGTTCTTAGGTTGTAGTTTTTTATTTGCTTTTTGTTCTTGGCCTCATTTGGGGTGAAAACGAGGCCAGTTCGAAATCGAAACCTTCCCCCAAGGCTCAAAGTACTCCGGGTCCCATGTGTCTGACATCTTGTCATTGCGGCATAGTTAGTGAACGCGAATCACCGCGCGTGGACACGTGTAGGCAGCACAATTCCGATTGCGCTTACGCGTATCCACGTGAGGTGTTTGCGTGCACCCGGGCCTATTGGCTACCAAAGTGAGATTTCAATCCCTCCTGCAAAAAGCGTCCCCTGTCCGGGATGCTACCCAATCA